CGGCCGCTGGCTGCAGGGCACCGGCATCCTGGACGCCAGCACGGCGGCGCAGAGGTAAGGGGACAGCTCGGGGACAGCTCGGGGACAGCTCGGGGACACATTTGGGACACATTCGGGACAGATCCGGGACGACCCGGGGACAGCCCGGCGGCTCTGGGGGTTGCGGGATGGATGCAACCCGAGCTCCGTGGGTCGGTGCGGGTATCCCGGGTTCCACGGGAATTCCAGGGGCTGTGGGCATCCCGGTTCTCTGGGCATTCCAGGGCTCTGCACATCCTGAGCTCCTCGGGTATCCCGGCTTCCGTGGGCATTCCAGGGGTGCGGGCATGCCAGGGGCTGTGGATGTGCCAGGCTCCGTGGGCATCCCAAATTCCACGGGCATCCCTGGCTCCGTGGGCATCCCAAATTCCACGGGCATCCCTGGCTCTGCCAGATATCCCAAATTCCACGGGCATCCCTGGCTCTGCCAGATATCCCAAATTCCATGGGCATCCCTGGCTCCGCGGGTATCCCAAATTCCACGGGCATCCCTGGCTCTGCCAGAGATCCCAAATTCCATGGGCATCCCTGGCTCCGCGGGTATCCCAAATTCCACGGGCATCCCTGGCTCCACAGGTATCCCAAATTCCACGGGCATATCTGGCTCTGCCAGAGATCCCAAATTCCATCGGTGTCCCTGGCTCAGTGGGCATCCCAAATTCCACAGACATCCTGGGCTCTGCAGAGATCCCAAATTCCCAAATTCCACGGGCATCCCGAGCTCTGCAACCCTCCTGGGCACTGCGGGCATTCCAGGGGCTGTGGGCATCCTGGGTTTTGGGAGTGTTCTGGGATCCACGGGAATTCCAGGTCCTGTGGGCATCCCTGGGCATCAGCTGTGGGAATTCCAGGGTATTCCATGCCCCGTGGGCATTCTGGGCTCCTGGGTCCCACGGGCTCCAGGGGCATTCCAAGATGTGCCCCCCATTTTTCCTGGCATTCCTTGGGCCTCTGGATCCCCTGTCCCGGTGCCCTGGGCATCCCGGGATCCCGGTGGGTTTCAGCTGCCAGGGGTTTGTGCCACCGGGAA